CATAGGCTGGTGTGCTTCTTCCATTATTTTGTTATTGATATTAGCCTTTTTGTTATTTGTTGTTTTGGTATGTTTTTGGTAGATGAAATCCAAGATGGGTGCATCTATAGAGCTAGTAACTGGATTAATGGTTTCTTGGGAGTATGGCAGGGGAAGTAAGGGGGAAATGGGGAGCTAATAACGAAGAGTAAAAGAAGAAAATGTTCTAAAATTGATTGTGGTAATAATTGTGCAACTCTTCTTGGTATGATTGATTTATATAATGGATTATATCACAATAAAACTGATCATTTAAAAAAAAAGCAAAGTAGAAGCTTTTTGGTAGGTTTGCCTCAGAATGAATCACATCAGTGAATGTAATTATTGCCCTTTCATGAAATAGACTGTGTTCTTATTCTGGACAGATGAGAGAACAAGAAAGACAAGCTTCAGGTGGTGGAGAGATGTTTTTCATGCGCACACCTCAGGACCTCACAGGCAAAGATGGAGATCTTATTCTTGCAGAATATAGTGAGGAAAATGGACCCTTAATGATGCAGGTTGGCATGGCAACCAAGATAAAAAACTACTATAAACGGGTGAGTGCTCAAAAAAATCATTGTTAATTCAGTTATAGTTTAGGTTATCCAGGGATAATCTGTATATGTACTTTTTTTTTCATAGTGTAAGCTATTTGGTAGAAATAAATTGTATCATTTTTGAAGTTAGTCATATTAGCAAAATGCTATGCTCATGGAATATTTTGTGTTGACTTAATTGTACTATCTGTGATAGTAACTGAGGCTTATTGTGTTCTTCATAGAAACCTGGGAAGGATCCTGGAGCCCCAGATTGCAAATATGGCGAAACTGTTTACTGCCATACATCTCCTTTCCTGGGCTCTCTCCATCCTGGGCAATTACTACAGGTGAGGAATTCTTTTCCTAAAGAAATTTATATGTGTCAGCCCAGAAAAAAACAGTTGCATGAGACAGTTCCTCTATTGAGTATGAAGAAAATCATTATACTCTCAAAATGGTTATACTAGCTATATTTGAAATATGTTTTTAAGTATCTTTTTTTATTGTTAAAAATTTTAAATAATTTCTTAAGATGCACACTGGTAAGAAGCCCAGAAATACCTGGGTAGCATAGGGAATCAACCTAGATTAATAATTTTCATAATTAGTTTTTATTTTCAGTCACATCAAGCAGTATTGTACAATTGCTACCAGTTTCAAAACATTCTTTTCTTGAACTCCTTGATATCAGCTCTCCTTACCCCACTCCCCCTTATCCTTATTCTGCTTGTCACTGTAGGTTCATCAATCCTGGGTTTCATGTACCAAAAATGAGAAAAACATTTAACAAAAACATTTAGCAATGACAAAATACATCAGAGATAAACCCCAATATGAAAAAAGCAAATCATACAAAAAGTTGAAATCCTGCTGATCAGGCCCAATGTGTATCAGTGGGGAATCAAGTGACAAGTTCTAACTATTCAAGTCAGGTTAATCATTTTGGTCTCCTATAGTCATCTTTCCAATGTAGTTAATTTTAAAATGTTGATTAGTATCTGTAAAATTGATCTTTTTTGGTTATGTGTGAATTTTGACTGATACCACTCCAGTGCCATGGAACCATATTACAATTCTTTTTGATTCTTCTTTGTCCTGATGGATATAGAGGAACCATCTGGTAACTTGGCTTTTGCATTTTTTGTTAAAGGAAAGTACAGATTCCACCAGTGATGTAGGAAGAAGTCTCTAGCACATTTCTACTTTGACTCTTTTCTCCATTTCATTTCCCTTGGCAGTCTTAATCCTTTTGTATTTGGCTTATTCCACTATCACTGTTTCTTATTTTCTTAAAGTATCGAAGTCTGTTTTGTGGGGAATGACACAAATGGTTCTCAGCTACTAGCTGAATGTTTGGTGCTTTAAAACCCTCCAGAAGCACCTCAGAAGAAAGGCCTGGCTATATGCTTCTGTAAAGGCCACAGCCTTGAAAACCCTCTAGAGTTTAATTCTACTCTTAAAACATGGGATGGCCATGAGTTGGAATGGACTTCTCAACAGCAGCTGATTTGGGCTTTAATCTGTCGTCTAGTTTCTAGAAGATTGTGACCCTCTTTGTTCCTGGCATTTTCTCTCCCTGTAACTTTCTCTTGAAGTTTTCTAGGAATTCATCACCTTTATTTGTAATATCTTAAGGTTTTCTTTCTGCCCTCTCTTGTATTTCCTTTTTTTTACCTGTTTTACCTTTACAATGTTTTATCTATATAGTGACAATCGTTTTTTCTATGCACCTAAGAAGACATAGAATCACAGGCTTGTTGATTCCCATCTGCTTGTTACTTTAATTAACAAAATGTTTCTGTTCTCTCTGTGTATTGAATTTTATCTCTAGCACATCTCCTACCTCATTGGGTTTTTTTGTATTTAAATTCATCCACTCATTCAACAAAATTTAATTTTGCCTATTGTGTGTCTGTTAGAAAAGGACATGCTGCTTATTAGTAAATTAGAGGGTTTGTGAAATGAAAATGAGGGAAACGCTCCATGAGATAGTTTGACACAATGGCCATGACTTAGCAATGATCATGAAGATGGTGTAGAACCAGACATTTTGTTTTGTTTTTCTTGAGCCAACTCGAAGGCAATTAACAACAACAGCAATTGTGTGTCAGGGGCTATGCTGGAGTCTGTGGTAATAGTTATTGTTAGTTTATAAAGCAATTTTCATATGTAGTACTCATAACACTACTGTAAGGTATGAGCAGTTTAAGTATTTTCATTTTATAGATGATAAAAATGCAGCACAGATTTGTTACATAACTTGTTTGGTGTCATACATTGAGTGGAAGAATTAGTGCCATCTCATCCCCAATCCTGTAGTTTCTCTATTACTGGTGAAAATTGTGTGTCTAACCCTGTTTTCTTTTTCACATAATTTATGTGATTGTTGAGGTCATATGAGTATGGAGAGCAGACAAGCTTGGTTTTTGTCTCCAGAGAGAGGATTTCCTAAGACTTCTTTGAATATAATCTTTGTGTGTTTTTACTCTTGTTAGGCATTTGAGAACAACCTTTTTCGTGCCCCAATTTATCTTCATAAGATGCCAGAAACTGACTTCCTGATCATTCGAACAAGACAGGCCTACTATATTCGGGAATTAGTGGATATTTTTGTTGTTGGCCAGCAATGCCCCTTGTTTGAAGTTCCTGGGCCCAACTCCAAGAGAGCCAATACACATATTCGTGACTTTCTACAGGTAAGGATAAAGGAGTAGGGGTGAAGTCAGGGTGTACTCGAAAGGTATGTGAACTTGGGGCCATACCAGGAAAGATCAGAACAGATTGCTGAAAAGGCCCTAGTTTAGACCTTTTATCCTTTACTATGTCAAATTGAGTGTATTTGATTTGTTTGGGCAGGTTTTTATTTACCGCCTGTTCTGGAAGAGTAAAGATCGGCCGCGGCGGATTCGAATGGAAGATATAAAAAAAGCTTTTCCATCCCATTCAGAAAGCAGCATCCGGAAGAGGCTAAAGCTTTGCGCTGATTTCAAACGCACAGGTTGTGTCTAGTTATTAGTCTTTTCTAACTTCTCGGCCTGAGGGAGGGAATGTGATGACTCTGAGTAAACGATAAGAAATCTGCTAATAAAATAGAACTTATCGTCATTGAAAGGAGAAAGTAAAATGTCATCTTATACTATGGAGGCACTTAGTGCTGTTGTCATCTTGACTGCCAGGAAGTAAGGTGTGATTGTTGAACAGAAGTACTGTATCATTAAGTTTTCTCATGGTGAGTGAAGTTTTTCCTAATGTTGAATTTTAAGGGAGAAATCTTGAAATGCAGGTAGCATTTCAGTTGTCTTTCTTGGCCAGATAGATATTTACGGATAGGCCTTTTCCTTTCTAGGGGACAGCTTGATTCAGTCTTTTTTATTTCACTTGCTATCAGTGAGTGTTGGGACTGTTGACATTTAGAGCAGCTTCATATTCCATCTCTGTATCTTTCCAGGGATGGACTCAAACTGGTGGGTGTTGAAGTCTGATTTTCGTTTACCAACTGAAGAGGAGATAAGAGCTATGGTGTCTCCTGAGCAGTGCTGTGCTTATTACAGCATGATAGCTGCAGAACAGCGATTGAAGGTGAACACCTTCCACTTGATCACTGTCTGTGCCAATGAGTAGGGGGAGAAGCTTTTTCTGACTTTAAGAGATGGCTACTAGATGTTTACCAATTATTTAAAACTTAAAACTGTATTAAGTATTCTCTGTGTATATCAGTTCTGTGTCAGATATTGGTGGAAAGGCTTAATAAGGGACTTGATGTACATTACTTTGAAAATGTTGGCTTATCCTTATGGATGGAGATTTAAGTTTATTTTCTTTGTAAACCAGGATGTAAACAAGGTAAGTACTTGTCCGTTTCCCTTGTCCTATGTGAATAAAGATGGAGATTGAGCTAGAATTGTGTTTTAGAGAAGCACAGTATTTTTATCAGGCCAAAATAGAAATAGTTCAGCTAGAGTGGGACAGCATTGCACTGTACCACTGAGTTAATGAGATTGAGCTGTTGGGTATCTCTTTACCTTTTGAGCCCTGATTGTTTATCGGCTAGTATCTTCTATTCAAGGATATTGAATGACGATGCAGACCTGACTTTATACATTTTTTTATACTTATGCTGTACTTGGCCGTTCTGTAACACTTGACATTTAGTAAAATTTGTGCTTTGTGTTTATCAACCATTTGATTGATATACGGATGGATTTGCCCTTTTCAGGATGCTGGCTATGGCGAAAAGTCTTTTTTTGCCCCAGAAGAAGAAAATGAAGAGGATTTTCAGATGAAGATTGATGATGAGGTTAGACTTACAGTAGTTTCTGTGTTTTTTTATTAGAATATTCTATATCATTTTTTAAAAAGCTTTATTCAGATATGATTAACATATAATAAACCATATATTTAAAATATACCATTTAATATTTTTAATGTGTATGTACCTGGGACAAGACAAATGCCTATGGTAAGATGTAACTATATCCACCACTCCCTAAAGTATTTTAGTGCCTCATAAATAATGTTTTCCAATTTCTTCCTTTCTGTTCCCTGGCAATCACTGCTGAGAGGAATTACTGAAAGCTAATTGACTCATTCCCCCTTAAGTCAATTCCCACACATACCTGCCCTACTCAACAGATTAGAACTGCCCCCTGTGGGCTTCTGAGACTAGAGAAAGCCTCATCTTTTTCCCATACAGTGACTGGTGGTTTTAAACTGCTAACCTTGCTCTTAGCAGTCCAGTATATAACCCACTACGCAACAAAGGCCCTTTTTCCCCTTACTATAGGTTACTGTATAAAGGTCGAACATGATAGTGGGACAGGCGGAAAGTAAAAGGAAATCGGAAAGAACTAGGAGACAAAGGACATTTTTAGAGGTATAAATACAGGTGTATACATATGTAATATATTTTCATATAACAATAGGGACATAGTTCTATGGATATATGTTAAATAAGGTAGAAGGATGCTGGGCCTCTACTCAAGTATTCCCTCAACGCAGGAACACTGTGTTCTAATAACCTAGCATTCTGTGATGCTCACCTTCCTGACACCATCACTGAAGACAGAATGGGTGCATAAGCAAATGTGAAGAAAGGTGATGGTTCCTGGCTATCAAAAGATAATAGCATCTGGGATCTTAAAGGCTTGACGATAACGCAAGCGGCCATCTAGCTGAGAAGCAACAAAACTCACATGAAAGAAGCACACACCAGCCTGTGTGATATTGAGGTGTTGATGGGATCAGGTATCAGGCATCAGAAGTCCCTGAACAATCAATCATATCGTTGGGAACAAGGGGGAGGGCAGAGTAGAGACTCAAAGTCCATCTGTAGACAATTGGACATCGCCTCACACAAGGGTCACAAGGAAGGGATGTGCAAGCCAAGGTGCAGTATAGCACCAATGAAACAACATTCCTCTGGTTTTTTAATGCTTCTCTGCCCCCTCTCCCCACTATCATGACCCCAATTCTACCTTACAAATCCGGCTAGACTAGAGCATATACAGGGGTACAGATAAGAGCTGGAAACATGGAATCCAGGACAGATAACCCCTTCAGGAACAATAATGGGAGTAGCGGTGCCGTGAGGGTAGGGGGGAGGTGGGGAGAGAAAGAGGGAATCTACCACAAGGATCAACATATAACACACACCCCAAGGGAGATGAGCAACAAAACTGGGTGAAGGGAGACCGGTTGGTGTAAGATGAAAATGATTTATAAATTATCTAGGGTTCATGAGGGAGGGGAGAGTGGGGGATGGAAGGGGGAAAATGAGCTGATACCAAGGGCTCAAGTAGATAGAAAATGTTTTAAAGAGGATGATGGCAACATAAGTACTAATGTGCTGTCACCAAAGATGTATGGATTGTTATAAGAGCTGTAAGAACCCTCAATAAAATGATTAAAGAAAACATGCCAAACTTCTAAAGTGATTACTATTTCCCATAGCCACCAGCTGTGCATAAGAGTTCCAACTAATCCATGTCTTCTTCATCACTGGGTGTGATCGGTCTTTTTAATGTTGGCTATTCTAATAGGTGCGTAGTGGCTTTCCTAGTGGTCCCTCAATGGCGTAAATATTTTTAATTGACTGCTAACCGAACAGTTGGTGATTAAAATTCACTCAGGAATCCCACAGAACACCTGGCAGTCTGCATCTATAAAGATTACAGCCAAGAAAGTCTTAAGGAACACTTTAACACTGTAACATGAGGAGTTGCCATGAGCTGGAATCAAATTGATTGCAACGGTTTGTTGTTGAATAATGGCTAAGAAGGTTAATTTTTCTTTCATGTGCCTATTTACCATCCATATACTTTCTTTGGGGAAGTGTCTTTTACATACCTTTTGTCCATTTTTACTGTTTTTTTAGGCTCTCACGTATATATTTTATTTCATGCATCTCTATAAATTCATCTGTAAATTGGAGAAAGTAACACAAATTTTATAAAAACAATGTCGACGTTTAAAAAAAAATTTTAGCTCTAAAAAAATTTTTTTTTAGCTCTCAAGGCAGTATTTGGCCAAAGATAAAGTCTACAGGTTTAGGCAAGGAGGAAGAATGCAAACAGGAAACACGGGGGAAGTAGGAGAAATCATGGTATAAGGATTGCAAAGAAAGAGCTGAAGCAAAATGTGTATAAATTGCTGAATGTAAAACTGCTGATCTGCTCTGTAAATTTTTACTTAAATCACAATTAACCCCCCCTTTTTTTAGTTTACTATTATTTGTTTTTTTATTACTGAGTTGAGAATTTATATTCTAGGAATGAATTTATCAGATGTTTAATTTGTAGAGTGTCTTATGAAAAGTAGAAGTCTAACTTTTCTGTTCTTATTTGGTGTCATATCTAAAAAACTTTTGCCTAATCAAAAGTCATAAGGTTTTTGTCTTTATACTTTTATTATATAAATTTTATTGTTTTAGGCCTCAATATTTAGCTCTATATCCCATTTTTGAGTTAATTTTTATATAGGGTGCAAAATAGGGATTAAAGTTCATTTGTATCCAGTCTGCTCTCTTTCTCTTCACTAATGCATTTAATTATTTACATACAATGTAATTATTAGTAGGTATGAATTTATTGCTGTCATTTTGCTATGTTTTTTTTATCTCATGGCACTGCTGATTTCTTTATAAATTCTGTGCTGAAAAAAATTCTGTGCTGAGTTTATTTTGCTGGTTAACTTATCTTTTCATTTTATTCATTTCTGTTGTTTTAGTGTCTAGTAAACATTTATGAATCTCCTTGTTGTTTTGATGAGATTACTCATTCCCTTGTGTTTACCCTGTAGCTTATTTCTTCCCAAGCTTAAGACAGTCTGTTCTATTTTGAAAACTACCTGATTTCCTCTCAATTTTAAAGTTCTATATCTACATTATAATTGTTTTTGTTGCAAATTGATATCTCCAGTTCCCTGTTTTCAGTCTTGTAATTTTATTTTCCTTTGGGTTATTGTATATCTTGTTTGACTTCTGAGTGCTATTGTCATGTATATTAATCTAAGATTATCGCCTACTATTAATTCTCTGTCCTAAAAACTCCCCTTAGTGTTTCTTGTAAGGTTTTTAGAAATTCCTTAATTTCTATTATCTCGAAGTATCCTATTTGAAGAAAAATTTTGCTGAGTATATGATCCTTGGTTGTCATTTTTTTCTTTCTTATATATCATCCTGTACTGCATTCTTGCTTGGATGGTTTCTGCTAAGAAATTAGAGTGTGGTTTTACTGGTTCTCCTTTGTATGAAACGTTCTATGAAGCCTGAGCAACTCAGAATTCTTTTCTTTACTCTTTGAAAGCTTGATTATGATTTTGAAGTTTGAATATTATTTTCTTTTGGTGTCTCTCTTGTTAAGAGTTTTTTCTTCTTTGGGTTTCATTCACCTTCCTAAATGCATACCTTCTTGTCATTTATGATGTTAAGAAAGCTCTGTCCAAACAATTCCTGAACAGTTTTATTCTGCTTTTTGTTTCTTTCTGTCCTGGAATTCTAATTATTCTTGATGGTGCCTCACATCATTCTCAGGCTTTCTTTGGATTTTTTAATTATTCCTTTAGGAGATTACTATTGAGAGATTTATCTTCAAACTCATCAATTCAGCCTTACATTGATGCAGTTCTACTCCTTTGCTCTTACATTGCAATGTGTATTTCTGAAATCTTAGTATTAATCTTCTGGATTTCTATTTGCTGTTTTTGTATAGTTTCTAAATTTTCATTTATTTTTGTCATTTTGTTTTAGGGGTAGGTGGGAGATAAATACCAAAGAGTGGAATGACTGCATTTTCCAGTGTTTCCCTGAATTCTTCTGAATGTATTTTCCTGTTTTCCCAATCTTTCTTTAAATCCAGTGAAGAGAACTATAAGCTATTCTTTTGAATTTCTTATCAGGTAGATTCAAGTCTTCTGTTACCTTTTTGAGCAATTGTTTCTTATTTCTTATTGTGAACTGAATTGTCTCTTATCTTTGAGATGATGCTATTAGGTGCCATCAAGTAGATTCCCATTCATAACAACCCTGGGTACAACAGAAGGAAATACTATCCTGGCATGTGCCTCCCCACAATCTTTGTTTGAGCCCATTGTGGAAGCCACTGTATCAATACATCTTATCAAGAGCCTTCCTATTTTTCCTCTGCTTTTTGTTTTACCAAGCATGATGCCGTTTTCTAGGGACTGGTTTCTCCTGATAATATATCCAGTGCATATGAAACAAAATCTCACCATCTTCTTTTCTAAACATTCTGGCTGCACTTTTTCCAATACTGGTTTGTTTATTCTTTCCATAAGAAAGCAGTGCCTGGCATGTAGTAAAGAGTGACTGGTTGCAAACAGAAGCAGAGCATGAGTACAGCTTGTGCTCTTCTAAGATTAAAATGAATAACGTGTGGGTGTCTAAAAATTTAAGAAAGTAAGGACTTGTTGAATGACCTTCAAGATTGAATCTTAGAGAATTGCCTGCTGTTTAGCTAATTGTTGAAGCATGTACACTGTTTCAATTCTGTAATTACTGAAGTGTAGGGTCTATGATACTCAGGTTCCTGAGGAGGATAGGCTGTTTTGATTAAACGTTCAGTGTCATTGAGTGTATTTTGACTTGGGTTTTTTAAAATTTTTGTTGTTCTTTTTGAGACCAAATGCTATAAAACATATACCAAAAAAAACCCAAACATATACCAATCCAACTATTTCTGGTGTACTGTTGATGAAATCTACAAATGAAGCAACCATTCTCACCTTTTCTGAGTTGTTTCTTCCCCATTAACATTAAACTCTACCCCCTGAGATTCCTAT